TGATGCTTGATCTCCCCCCAGACATTTGTGGAGGAGAAAGTTCAAGAAGCAGATACTCTTACCTCTCAAGTTGAGGAGCTTGCTTCTCAATTAGAAAAAGAAAAAGAGGAATGTAAAAGGTAAGCAGAACTGTAGTGATACAGGCATGATATGATTAATTGTTCATTCTCGATGAATGGTCCTTCTCTTAGCCATTTTCTCTGGATTTCTGAAATATTTAGGATCACTTCAAGAATCAAGAAGTTTTTCAAAGCATATAATCGATGCTCACAGATAGAAAATGAAATGAAGAGGTAAGTTTTTACAATGTATGTTGTTTTCTTATTTTTATTTGTTAGCTGTATCGAACTTGATGCATCTTATCTCATCTCTGATTCTGAAATTTGAAGAAATGCTGATTAGTGTTTGGTAGGTTTTATTCATTAGTTAATATTTATGTAAATTTTTAGATCTCAAGCTAGACTGCAGAAGTCAGGAGAACAGCCTGGTTTAAGTATTTCTGGAACCAGACATGATGAAGAGAACTCCAATATCAACATTGTTAGTGACGATGAGACTAATGGCTTACATACATCTTATCCACGAAAAGCGTTAAGGGGTAATAATTCTCCAAGCAAGAAAAGGCTGTGGTCCAATAAGGGCATCCCTGAAGGTCCCATTCACGATGATATTTTGTTTGATATCTCTGCATATAATGTTGTGTGGAATATTTAGTGTCTACAGAAAATTTGAGTTCTTAATCCCTGCATATAATGGTAACTTATTGTAGACTCTAGGCACCATTCTTAATTGATTTGAGTTAAATAGGATTATTATCTGAAGATTTATTTGAGCTGACTGCTGACCCTAAGATTTTTAAATGTAAGATATGGGATTCAGAGACATGCAATTATAGAACTTTATGTGACATGATGACATGACCTGAAAGTTGGAGGAAAAGTCCAGTATTACTTCTTTTTATCTCTAAAGCTGAAATTACTGTTTTGTTTTGAGAAATACACTTGAAGTGTTTGGTACATAATGTTACAAATACAACTTACCTGTCCCACACTATGTACTATACATATACATATATACTCTCTATTGGCTGTTCAACCTGGTTAATTTCTGCAAGTATTGAATATACCTATGCATAATTATCAAAATTTATTTTCCCAAATAATGTTATGCGACATATTATTTGTAATATTGTTTTTATGCTGATTGATTACTTATATTTTGCTGTTTTAATCCAAGGCAAAGGATGTCAGGCAGAAACTATCCGATCAGTAAAGCGGTCTCGTTGGAGTGAACGCCCTACTCGTTCAAATATAGACAAGGAAAATGGTTCAGTGAAAAATGGAAACATCGATACCGTACCCTCTGCAAGTAATGAGAAGCTGAGGAAAGGAAAGAAAGTCTCAGTTATCACATCTACTGCTGATAAGGTACCCCTTACCATATATCTTTTTATGCTGCAGGGGATATTCTCTAGGTTCCCTTTTTTGTTTTTATTTTTTGTTTGTAAACGGTGTCAGATTAAGGCTTCGCTTAGGTATGGAGGATGAAAATGAGGAAGGATGGAAAATTTGTTAATCAAATGGTTAAGATTCAAAGTACGAAATCCATCCTTCCTAGTTTCCATCCATCATACCAAACAAAGGCAAGTATGGTGCTTAGCTGCATAGTTAAGACTTCAGACCTTTGTAACACTGCGCCAGACTTATACACCAAATATTGCTTTGGTCGTATGATGAATATAACAACGATAGGCGATAAAAATGAAAAAAAAAGTTTCTCTGAGAGAGCAACATGTGATGCATGAATTTGGTAGCTTGTTGGTCGTATTTATTTCCAATAACAAGTAATAGTTCGGAATCATTTTGATGTTTTCTTTCCAAGATAAAATTCTAATAATATCCTTCACTTAGAAAACTCCACCTGTGGCATAATCCGTTTAGTACCGAAGCGAATTTCATAATCAAAGATGTTGTATTTTACATTTCCTGCTTACAATAAGTGACTGAAAGTTGGGTGGGGGGGGGGGACAACCGGAATCTAATAATGTATGCATTTTGTAATCCTCTGCCATGCTATTTTGTAGTTAAAGGATGCACGTGCTTCCATTTCATTGCCTTCGACCAGCATGGCTGCTCATGCAGGTGATGACGACGTAGTAGAAGTTGAAGAGGAGAAGTTCGAGGCATCACGCTTGCCGTTTTTACTTCCTCCACCTCCTCCGATCCTCCGAAATAGTTACTCACGGGTTGGTTATATTCTTGTTGAGCGTTTGCCCATATTGTTTCCACTATATTATTCGACTCGCTTAATTATATTATAATTTTCATCGAAAGCATTGATTTAATTTTCTTTTTCCCGAAATACGGGCTTGCATCGATATGTAGTACAAGGGTCATGATCAAGACGTGGATGTCGACAGAGGTGATGAAGAAATGGTACATGTGGATATTGTCTGAATATATGAATTAGTTGCTGTAAGTGTATATCATCTTTATACGTGGTTTTCATTCCATTGCTGGTGAAACCAGTTATTTTGGATTTCCAAGTATATACTATACATTTCTATATATCATATATGGGTTAGGTTAAAGCTGCGGTATTGTTTTTATTTTATCCTTTTCTCAAGGCATGTGTATGTATGTCCTATATCTGCACAAAAAGTAATTATTTTTTACTGTTTATTTTTTTTATTTAACCACCTATATCCGATTTATTGATCGATTGTTCTGGGTCAAATTTTGTATAGGTTTATTGTGGGGTTATCTTTCTAATTCAGTTTGTTTCATTTATAAATGTCAATATTCAAATTCTTATTATTACTGGATGGATTTAATATTTTATTTCATTAGACAATTAAAATCTTTATGAATAAAAAAGAGAATATAATTGAATAGATCATCAATTTTTTTATAATTTTTTTACAAATTAAATTTTAAGTTGATTTATTTTTTAATCATTGTCTATGTAACATCATTTTATGTTTTTATATATAATAATAAAATTATTTAATATAAAAGTTGAAGTTTTATGTATATAATTTAAAATGAGTATGGAATTTGGATCTAACATGATTTTTTTATCCTGTTGGATTGGTTTTCTTTTTGAAAATTTGGGCGAGTTTGATTTTTTTAAGAATAAGATTGAGTTGGATTTAGATTTAGATTTAGGGTAGTTTGTTTAATGGAAAATAGATTCCGAAAAATGAATGTTGTTTTAATTTCTTGGAAAACATTTTACAGTATTACAATGACGTTGTGTAATTCATTTTCTATTGGTTGATAATTTAAAAAAAAATTATTATTATAACCAATAAATAATATTATTTATTAATAAAGTAATAATATTATTTTTTAAATATTAGAATAATCTATCTAATAATATTTATGTCAATATTATTATTAAAATATTATATCTACAATTTTAAATAAAAACATTAATATTATTATGTTTTATTAAAATAAAAATATTATACATTATATTAATATTTATTAAAATAAAATTAATATATTATTAAGTATATTAATTACTTAATAAAATAATAATATTATTAAACTATTAAAATTTATAATATTAAAATAAAAATGTTATATTTTAAGGAATATATTAATAATATTTTATTAAAATGATATCAAAATAATATATTAATATTAATTATATAAAATAATAATGTTTTGAATATTTATGCTTTGGAGTTAAAAGTTCATGAAATAATTTGAAAATCAAGAGACATTGACCATCTGTTTTCCGCCATCCAAACACTAAAAAAATGAGGAAAACATTTTTTGAAAAAACAATTACAGGAAAACAAACAGACCCTTAATATTAAAATCTTTTATCTTCGGGATAGTAGTGTAATAATCTTTTGTATATTCAGAAATAATTATCTTTGATTCAATTTGAAAAAATAGTGTCATTATCCTTGATCCGAGTTAGGATAGTAATATAATTATTTTTTATATATTTAAGTCATATTTGAGTTTTTATTTTAAAATTTTTAATTAAATTTTAAATTAAAAAAAGTATTTAAATTTGAGTCAAGTTCAATGACTAGTTAAAAGTATAAAATTTAGATATTATAAAAATTTGATTTAAGTCAATCTACGCTATAATTAAATTAAAATTAAAATTGTCTATATTATATAAACTACGTATATGTTTCACATTACAATTTTTTAATCGAAATTCATGTATGGTTTGAACATTTATCTCAATTTTAGAAATAAATGTATTATTCTTATATTTTAAATTTTTTACTAATCATAATACACATATTTTAATTAAGTGTCAGTATATATATATATATATAATGAATTTAGGTGATTAAAAGGTAGCAATGTCTAAAAATATTTTTGAGGATGATCATATATATGTTAACAACATAAATTTTTTAAATAGGATGGGTATAAATTATACTTTAAGGTGAACACCATCAGTAAAATAAGTAACTAATTGAAGAAAATTCAAATTTCATGGTGGCCACGTATCCACCTTCACCAAGCTGTAGGGATGTAGTTAGGATTCTAATTAAAACAAAAACAAAACAAATTAAAACTTTAATGTCTAAATAGATATTTGTTCTTATATTTTTTAATGATAAACAAATCAAGGACAGTGATCCCCGACCCTATGTAACTATGTTATTATGCATGCATTATACTCAAACTCAATTCATTTTGTTTTTTGTTTTTACATAAAAGTTTATATCGGAAGTGTCTCTTCAATTCATGGTCAGTGCATACCTAAGATCTAATTGTGATCTATATAGAAATTTATAGATTACATACAAAAAATGACGATAGTATGATTCAAACTTAATTTTACAAACTCAAGTTTCTGAATTCCAACCACATGTACTAAGGCATCAAACTCAATTCTTTAGAATAATAGTAATAATCAAAATATATTTATACTAGATTTATAGATGACGGAAGCATAAATCGAAGTAAAAAAGAAGTCTTGTTCAAGTTAAACATTAGTGAAAACAAAAAATAAAGCTCTACACATGGGTTACAAAACAACAGTTTGAAACTGCGAAACAATCAAGCCATGTCAGCCACAATCTCATCGACAGCAACGGGGCTTATCGCCCTTTCAACTTCCCGACCTGCACTATCGACGAACATCTCTTGCTCCAAGTGGAAACAATAGGTCTCGAAAACACCAGAGCTAACCCCCACTCCGAAATCCAACAGCAAAAGCAGTTCTATTTCTAGCCGGTTCAGTTCAGCATTGCTCACTCCTCCCACCCGAGCATAGGACGCATTGTTGTAGTGCCTGAATTAGCAACAATCAAACACAATTCTCAACAAAACAACAACAATAAATAGGTTTTATAGAAGAAGAAGAAGAAGAATACTTACACATCATCGAGAACCTTGGAAGCAACCATGACGCTGGTAACAAGCAATCGATGCACATTCAACGACACGAGGAGCGAATCCGGATACTTATGGGCCAACCTGTCTATATAAACGTATCCCAACACAAAGCACGAAGGGCTGCAATTTGTGTACTTATAAATCCTCTCCATGTAGTTGCGTATGCTTATATTAGGAGCCCTAACGCCATGGAACGCGTGCAAGCTTTTCCCTAGCGGAGCCGGAGTACTATTACAATTGCCGTTCGAGTTCGACCCATCGGGCTGCTCGGTTAGGGCCTCGACGAGCCTGTCGTTTCGCGTCACTAGCTTTTCCAAAACCGAGGAGATTATGGTGAGGACTCTCGGTGTCGTCGTCTCGGCAACAATTGGTTCCGGTTGCCGGATTCGCTCGGCGTGGTAGTCGCCGGCGGTGGCTAACATTTAATCCATTGTGAAGGAGAGGAATCGGGAGGTTAGGACTTATGAGCCTATCTGTTTGGTTGAGCAGTGTTTCATAAGCGATGGCTGTAGCCTGGTTTTTTTAATGTTATTAAGGTGAAGGTAGTGGGGGACTTTGGTTGTAGTTTGGACGGTGGAGATGCTGTGATTGTGGCTGGCTTGTGCGGCTGAGTGAGTTTGAGCCGTTAGATGGATTCGGGTCCCACGTGTGGATGTGAGGGGATTGGGTTCAATTGGATAGCAACAATTCGATGGCTGGAATTTGGTGAACCATCTTCGTCTCATTTGTACATTGTAATTTACTGACTTGATATCTAAGAGAAATGGTGACACGTCATCGTGAAATACACATTAAATATCATATAATTTGTCAGTAAAAAACTATTAAAAGTTAATGTTTTATATAAAATTATCATTGAAAAAATTTGTTGGTTGCAACTGTTTTTTCTTTCTCCATTGCTCACTTTAATTTTAATTTCGATGGGCTGACGGCAGTATCAGCCTTAGTGTTAATTATTGTAATTAAACTGATAATTCTTATTTTTTTTGTTTATTTTCTTATATTAATTCTTTGTTTTGTTTTTTATTTTAAATTTTAACAAGTATGCTTTTATAATACATTTTTTCTCTGTTTTTATGGTACGTTGTTATCTACTTTTTATATTTTTAACACGTTTTCGATCTTTTGATTGTTCTTTTCGTTTATTTGTTATTATAATTATCTTCTCTACTTTAGAATCTCATATTGGACTTGGATACCTTGTTGTTAACACGTTTTCGATCTTTTGATTGTTTTTTTCTTTTATTTGTTATTATAATTATCTTCTCTACTTTAGACTCTCGGATTGGATTTGAATACCTTGTTGTGTTATTGAATAATTTTCTCACGTCGTTTGACTTTGATATGTGGTTTGTCGGTAGTCTTTCAGTAGTTTTCATCATATTTTGTGGTTTGTTTGTTGATGCAGTCATATCTATTTGTATATATTTTTGTTGCATTATTTTGGTTGGATTTTTAACCTTTTCATTATATAGTTCTTGTATAATCTTAAGTGACTAGTTTCTTGTATTAATAATTATAAAAAAATATATATTTTATTATGTGTTTAATTTATGATTATAAACATTTATTGAAATTCTAAGTACTTGTATTTTAATAAAACTAGCTATTCCCATTAAAAAAATTACTCCTTTAAAAGATTGAAGGTTAGTTTTATTTAGAATAAAAGGCATAAATGTAAAATTCAAAAAAACTATAATCAATAGAAGATAAATTTATTATTATATATTTTTAATCAATTGTTTAAGTTATTTTGAATTCATCGAGTCTCTAAATTAAAAGATTTTATAAAATAAAAGGTTTTTGTTTTGTTTTAGAATAAAACCGGGGCGTTTCGCAATTCAAATCGGATGTGGGTTTTTGGTCATTCTCTAGAGTTTGCTCTCTTACGAATCATACACGAGGAAAGCTCTCTTATGAATCATACACGAGGAAAGCTTGTCCCCTTAATTCTCGGACAGAAAAACTTGCCTCATTTGAATAAAGTGATAAACTGAATGGGTTCATTTGAATAAAGTAATAAACTGAAGGGGCACATTTGAATACATTGATACACTGAAGGGGCTCATTTGAATAAACTGATAAACTGAAGGGGCTCATTTGAATAAACTGACAAACTGAAGGGGTTTATTTGGATGTGATAAAAGTGTAAGGGCTTATGTGAAGGAAGTGACAAAGTTCATGAGCTTTTTCAATTAACATAAATTATCCAAGGTGGAGTAGCACTAAATGAAAGGAAACGGCACCGTTTTTCTTGAATGACAAAAAGGGGAAAATGGCCCATGGTAGAGTAGCACTAGATGAAAGGAAACGGCACCGTTTTTCTTGAAGGACAAAAAGAGGGAAAAATGGCCCATGCAGGTCTCGAACCTGCGACCTTCGCGTTATTAGCACGACGCTCTAACCAACTGAGCTAATAGGCCAATTGCTTTGGCAATTTTATTTATTATTAAATATTAAATTTATCAAATCGCCTGACACTGTTTTCATATATAAAAAATGTAGCACTTTTTACTAGGGAATTTTGTATGATGTCACTTATCCAAAAAAAAAAAAAAAAAATTTGTATGATGTGAACGGTGAGTTCAAAATGACGTGTTATTGTTACTATTATTTTTGGGTTCATTTTGAATGTCACTAAATCGTGATGTTATATGTGTTCTACATCTTCATTTATACGTGTTTTATATGATTTTATGCAGTATATTTTTAAGATAGTCTATGAACTAAAAGAATATTTTTTTCCTACTTCACAATATTTAACATAACCGATATCGAAATATTAAAATATGACGTCATTATAAATATTTGATTATTACAAATCAATAAATTAAACTTTTCTTCTAATATATGTAACTTCAAATTCAAAAGGTTTAAAAGATCGATAGACTAACTTTCATAGTTTATATTCGAACTTAAAATCAAAATCAAAAGAGTTTTTGCATTTTTTTCATCTTTAATTCAAGGGTTTTTTTTTTTATGATTCAGAGTGGTCTATTGCTGCAATATGAAATGCAATCATGATGTATGATGATAAAATTTCGTGGAAAAAATATTCAGATCATATTGCGAGAATTCGATTATAGTTTGGATGACAACATTGAATAAGCTTCATAATAAGAACAAATTTACCCCTCATGGGTTGAACATCAACAGTATGTGTAATTTGTGTGGGGAGGAATAAGAGGCGCGTTATTTTTTGTTCTTTGAATATGCCTAATTTAAACAAGTACGAATGAGTATTTTAAAGGTATGTAATACCGAGACTTGTTATAGAATAGGATCAAGAGTCAAGATTGTGCCAAATATGCGTAATCTAGACAAGTGTAAGTATTTTGAAGACGTGATATCGAAACTTGTTATAGGATAAGATCAAGAGTTGAGATTATTTTAAGTTGACAAAAAAATATTATATTACTCCGATTTAAAATGAAATAAATCAGAGATAATTTCCAGAGTTAGGGACATCTAAGCTTGATTTGTGAATAGCCTTGTAAATGAACTGAACGTTTAGCGAACCATTCATGAATCGTGCGGCGGAAAGTTCATTTATGTGCGTTTATTTATTAAATGAACGAATATGAACAAGATTTTGTGTTCGTCTAATTAAATGAACGAACACGAACAAATGTCTCGTTCGTTCATTTATGTTCGTGAAAGTTCGGTTATGTTCGTTCATTTATGTTTAACACAATTTTCTTAAATCAATTTTGGGGACCAATTTATAAGTATCTTAAAAATATTAATTAATCTGATATTCTGATGATCAACTCCATAGTTAACCCAATTTTATTTGGAGATTAAATCCAATATGTTAACCAGTGAGGCACCTCGAACCTATATTTATTTTCTCTCTTTTTTCCCAAACCTAATGTTCACTGGAGAGTGGAGACGATCAGTGAAAGCTTCAAAACAAGTTATATTATAGTGCAATATGAAGTTTTACAAGTCTATTTTCGTCTCTTTCTCTGTTTTATTTGACTTAATAGTTGATATGTAAAGTTATTGTGGGTATCTTCACATCTAAAACTCAAGAAAACATCATATTTCTTTTTAGAAATAGATGGGAAGATAAAGATAACAATCAGAAGTATATGAGCATCAGTAAAGAGAAAAATATATAGAATTTGTCAGAAAACAAAACAAAGATTTCTATGTAATTTCTGAAAAAGAGTGTAATAGCGGTAGTAATGAGTTTCCTAGGAAGAACCCATTAATAAGTAGAAAATACACTTTGACAATGAACTTTTGTTTTCATAGTTTTTGTGTGACACTTAGTTGTGGAGTAGACTTTAGGTACGTTAAAATTTTGAATGGTGGTTTAGCAATAATATCAGTTAGATGTGTAGCATCAGAGGGATTTCGGATCTATGTTATTGCCTTGTAGTCCAATTTGTACCGTTCGAAATTTTCATGTTGTTAAATTTTATACTCTGCCAATGGAAATGATCATTATTAACAAATCTCACTAAAGTCTGACATTGATGTCACAAAACTTTTAGACGGTGAATTTATTAGAATAACGTAGTGGAAAATGATTGTTCATATGTAATCATGAACTACTAAGATAAATGTTATAGTGTTAAATTAAAGTCGTGTGAATCATTTAATATCTTTAAAAGATCGATTGAAATATCTGATATCTTTAAACATTTCATCACTGCTAATCAACTCTTACGCTATTTATCACTATAGATTTGGTTGATTTGCATTGTGGACTATTTTTCATGAAAGAACAATAGAATGTAGGGTCTCCAACGTTTATATTCGTTTATGTTCGTGTTCATTTATGTTCGTGTTCGTTTATATTCGTGTTCGTTTATTTATTAAATGAACGAATATGAACAACTTATATTCCTTAATGAACGAACATGAACAAAAAAAATTTATTCGTTTATGTTCGTATTCGTTTATGTTTATTTATTTATTAAATAAACGAATATAAATATACATCCGTTCGTGTACATTCGATTAATTTACATGCGTATTTGTGAAACACCATTTCTAGTGCTATCCGGAGCTATTGGTAAACACAATCTATAGGAGAAATAAATTCATTTTTTTTTCGTAAAAAGAAAAAATGCCACATCTGCACTAGACCACCAAGCAAAAGCTTTTCAGACACAAAATCCACGTGTCATCTATGATCTCGAGATAGGTGAGAGCTTCATTTTCGCACTCAAGGTCAATGAAAAACCCGAGAAAATCCCGGTGCCCACGTGTCAATGAGTTTGTGAGCCAATCTTTTCCGGCGTATTTATTTACCAGCCTTGCCATCGCCCCGACTAAAAAGCCCACCCCAATAAAAATTCACATATCCACGTCAGACAAACGAGTATCCCATTCTCGAAGCTCATAATATCCCACGTGTCACTCATTCCGTAAACCTCGGACAAACGCGAACAAATACCGAATCATATCTCTTGGAGAGAGGTGCGGAAGCTCTCCCTTTGACTCAGGGGGGGGGGGCGTTCCA